GAATAATTTGTTTCTAGTTCTATAGAATGCAAAAAAAAAAAGGAATAGATTTCTCGTTAGTGCGATTTAGAATGCAAGGAAAAAGGATAATTTATCCTCTTCGTGAGTGCAGTATTATAGAATGAAAGAAATAATGAAATATCTCTCGTGGTGCGATGATTTAAGAATTGCAAAAAAAGGAATAATCTAATCTTCGTAGTCCTGATATAGATCGAAAGAAATAAGATAAAATTATCTTCGTAGTGCCTATAGAATTCCAAGAAATAAGAATAATATTTCTCTTACGAATATAGTCATTAGAATCAAGAAAAAGAATATTATTTAGTCACGGACTAGAATGAAGAAAAAAAAGATAATTTATTTCGAGTCGATAGAATGAAAGAGAGAAATATAAATAATTTTATTATCGTAGTGCGATTTTACGAATGCAAGAGGGGAGAAAAAAATAAGGAAATAAAATTATTATCATCGTAGTGCGAATAAATGCAGAAAAAAAAAAGAATATATCTTATTCTTCTCTAGTGCTGTGAAGCCAAAAAAAGAATAATTTATCTTCGTAAGACGTGCATAGAATGCAAAGAAAAAAAATAAATTGTCGTTCGTAGTGCGATTAGAATGCCAAGAAATTAAAGAATAATATCTTGTGTAGTCGATAGAATGAAAGAAAAAAAATAATAATCTTCCGATAGAATTAGTTCGAAGAATGAAAAGAAAAAGGATAATTTAATAATCTTTCGTATGCGAAGAATGCAAATAAGGAAAAAAGGATTATCTTCGTAGTCGTGCACTTGGAATGCAGATTAAGAAATATTTTATCTTTCGCGTGTTGCAATAAATAAGGAAAAGAATTATTTATCTTCCGTATATAGTGCTGATAGAAATGAACTAAGAGAAAATAGAATATTTGTCTTCTATAGCGGTCAGTAATAAAAAAGAAAATAAACAGGCGAATTAATTATTCTATCGTATCCTAGTGTGAAGAATGCAAAAAAGAAAAAAAACAAAAATTAATTATCTTCGACTAGTGCATAATGAAAGTAGAAAAAAAGGATTTTATTGTTTCCTAGTGCGATAAACTAAAGAAAAAGAAATTATTTATCTTCCCCCGGTAATGCGACTATAGAAGCAGAAAAAGGAATACAATTTGTCTTCCGTAGTCGATTAGAATGAAGAAGAAAAAGGAATAAATTTTTATCTTTTTAATGCACTGCGGCGATACGAATGCAAAAAAAAAAGGAAAAGAATAATTCATCTTCGTAGTGACGATTAGAATGAAAGAAAAAATAGCGAATTAATTTGGGGGTCTTCATGGAGTGCGCATGAAGCAAGAAAAAGAAATTTGTCTTCGTTTTTTTGTGCGAATTTTAGAATGAATTCAAGAAAAAAGAATAATTTATTCTTCGAATTTCTTAAACCCTATCGTGCCAGATAGAATGAAGATAAAAAAAGGAAACTATATTTCTTTCACTAGTGCCTAATGAATGAAAGAAAAAAAGAATACATTTATACTTGTTGTCATTATGAATGCAGAAAAGAATAATTTATCTCGTAGCTCCTGTGAATTTAGGTAGAAAGCAGGAGAAAAAAAGAATATCTATCTTCGTAGCATGCGATAGAATTGCTAAGCGAAAAAAAATCGAATAATTTATCCTTTCCGTAAGTGCCGATAAATGAAAAAATAAGATAATTTATCTTCGTATGCGATCTACAATGAAGAGAAAAAGAAGATAATAATTTATCTTCGTTTAAGTGCGACTTAGAATGCCAATGAAAAAAGGCGAATTAATTGTACTTCGTAGCTGCGATAGAATGCACAGAAATAAGAATTAAATTTATCCTGTATGCAATAGAATGAAAGACAGAAATAGAATAGGAATCTATCTTCGTAGCTGCTGATGTAGATTGAAATAAAAAAAGGAGCATAATGTATCTTCATAGATGCGATAGAAAGCAAGAATATAAAGAATAACTTATTTTCTGTGCAGATAAATATAAGAAAAAGAATATTTATCTTCGTGTGCGTAGAATGATAAAGAAAAAGAAATAATTATCTTGTTGTCGCGATTAGAATGCATATAAAAGGATAATTTATCTTCTCGGTGCGCATTAAAGAAGAAAAAGCGATTAATTATCTTCGTAGTAGCGATAGAAGCAAGGAAAGGAATGGGAATAATTTATCGTCTATCGAATAAATGAAAGAATAGAAATATTCTTACTCTTAGTGCTGATTAGAATGAAGAAAGGATAATTTATCTCGTTGCCTGACTGAATGAAGACAAAGGAATAATTCTTCTCCCGTAGTGCTGCGAATAAGAAGCAAGGAAAACAAGGAATAATTTATCTTCCTCGATAGTGCGATAGATGCAAGAAAAAAAAGAATAATTTATCTTCGTAGTGCGATTTAGAATGTCAGAAAAAAGGTATTAATTTATCTTCGCTGTCGATAGAATGCAGAAAAAAGGATAATAATTTATCTCGTAGTGCCAGATTAGAATGCAAGGAAAATAAGAATATTTATTTCGTAGTGCGATTAAGAATGCAAGAAAAAGGATTAATTTACTTCCGTATAGAATAGAATGCAGAAAAAGGACATGATTCTATCTTCGTTTATGCCGACTAGAGAAAAAATCAGAGATAATTATATTCGTCAGTCGATGTAGAATAAAGAAAAAAGGAATAATTTATCTTCGCTGTGCGTAGATGAAGAAAAAGAATAATTTGTACTCGTAGAATAGTGCAT